GACTCTGCATGTAAACCAGCTGCTTCTACTGCCTCTAGCACGTACGGTCTGAACGTAACATAATGCCTAACCTGGCATAAGCCAGATTGATATGTACAAAAATCAACAGGTGGCACCTGCCTCCTATATTGAGCATTTGGCCAATAACAGCAGCAGTAGCAGCTATGACATATCACATTCTTGATAGGTTTCACATTTAGCAGAATTAACTAAAATCTGTTCGAGAGGAATGTGTAAACATCTTTGCTGTCCACAAAACCATATATCCCATCCATCTGCTTGTTTTTAAAAAAATAAACAGAAGATATTCCAGCTAAGATACACTAAATAGTGGAGTCTACAGGTTGTTTTGCTTCAGCCTGTCATTTCAGGGTGACGTCATATACTTCACTGGTTTCAGTGGTTTAAATCGTATCTGTATTCTATGCTAATGCATTTTTTGGCTTCTGGCAAGATGATTCCGGGAATTGGAGTGTGAATTTACAGATCTCGCGACAATTCCTCTTACTTGCAAGGTAAGAAAATGCCAGCCATAAGGCTGAAAAAGAGGAGGAAGAGAGGAGGGGCAGAGTAAGGAGAGGAGGAGAAAATGATAAAGGAGGAGGAATAATAGAGGAGGAGGATAAGTGGAAAGTAGAATGAAAGCATTAGAAAAACAGTGGCAGGTACAGATGCAGTGCACAGAACAAGATTGGCTGTAAATCTTTACAGATAGTTTTTCATGGCATATTTACCTTTGATTTTTATGATGCCTGTTTAATAAACTTTAGTTAAGTTACTTAAAGTTTTATTTCTATTTTTACATACATATATATACACATGCAGTTTTAATTATTAAAACAAAGGTTTTCACACTTTAAACCAGGCTCCCTGACTGAATTAAAATCCAGCCTGCACATGGTTCAGACGAACTCAAAAAGTCACATACTGTATTCCAATATACACTATGTGAAGTGATTGATGAATAATCTGGTACCTTACAAAGTTGGGCATTAAACAACAGAAGCTAATAAAGTACAAATAAAGTGTAAACCGGTCAGCAACTGCTAAGCTCCTCCTCTCTGTTGTAGCCTTTAAAAAAACAGCCAATATGCTCTCCTGAAAAAATAAAGTTTATTTTTCAATAACCTCTGAGGACTTTTGCGCTTCCTCTGACACTATTTTTAAATCCTCTCACTGATAGAAAAACCTTAAGCTTTCTTCAAGCAATAACAACTTTCTCGTCAAACATTGCTTCAATAGATGTGACTTGGTAGCATTATGACACAAGTACTGATTATGAAAAAGATTGAGCAAAAGAGGTCAGTAGTGATCAAGCTGAAAATCGACTGCTTCTGCTGATGACCAGATTTCTTGGCGCATCTCTGCTGATGAGTCTAATCTTCTCTATCTTCTGAAATAAATGCATCTTTCGAAGTGATTTTAAAAGGAGAACAGGTCAGCTTTGGGTACTGCTGCTGTCAGCCTGACAGGAGCAGGGTGTAAAGCTGGTCACTTTGGCAGAAGAAAGTTGCTTCTTCTTGAGCGTCGATATAGGAATGAGAGCCAAAGAAGTAGCCAAACAAATTATGTTTATGGCTTTTTGGGATCATAGTGTCATAATTGTACAACTGCATATATTAACTTAGAACAGGTTTGTGTAGTGGGTGATTCTGGACAAAAACAGGCTACTGAATTAAATACTTTTACATAAATACTGCTGTTGTAATTCCAACAACTATAACAAAATACCCTAAAAAGGTCTATACTCCCTATCCAAGGTGCATCTGTGTGAGATGCAATCAACAATTTACATAACATTTAATGTTATTGGATTCAGAAGTCCTTATTTCATGCCTGAACCGCAGCAGGCTAACATGTTCTTACTTTTCCAAATTCTTATCTTATTAATATCCTACCAGAATTTTAAAAGGATTCTCAAACAATTTAAATAAGGATAAGATCAGATAGTGTCTTACTCTGAATATAAAATGTATGCCCACATCATATTTTACGCAGGACTGAAATGTAGGTTTGCCTAAAAGTAAAGATCTATGTTTGTTCCACTCATTGCAACAAAGTTAACCAGAATAAGTCTTAGCTTTTTGAGGTAAGTGAGTTGTTTGATAAACACAAAAAAAGCAGAGCGTACAGAAAAGAGACATCTATCCATCCATCCAGCCACCCATCATAACCGGTGCTACGGTGAAGCCAATTTCCACAAAGCTGCTAAGCTGATTGAGGCAGACCAAATCTGTTTCACCAGCTTACATTCCTTCAAAATGGCCATCTCACTTCCAATATCACGGGCTTTTACTGTTCCCCATTCCCTTGGCTCAAGCTGAGAGTTAGCAAGGCTTAGCTGGATGAAACACTCCAACAGCCCAGTTCTTCCCTGGAACTCACTGATATCTTTATAGCACAGTCTCTTGCTTATACTGTAGCTCTACTTGGTTGGATTATTTATTCAAGCTATTATTCTTGGACTGTTTAATTTTCTGCTTATTCTGTGTTTCATATGTTCATTTCTGGTTTAAAGTGAATGAGATTTATGTGTATTCTGATTATTCTAGGCATATAGAAAAATCTAATTTGCCTGTAAACGTTTTGTAAACACACCTGAGAAAAATTGCAAGGCAGTATTTACCAGCAACATTTTTTACTGGTGTAGATTAAAGTCACGGAAGACCTTTTAAAGAAAGTAATTTGGACAGATGAGAAACAGTTTCTACAAAGAATAGGTAGTTAGAAGCCATGTGGGAACAGAATCACACTGCAGCAGCATTAGACTTTGCTCCAGCTTTTATATGTGTACATAATAAAAAAACAGAATCAGATAATTATTGCTATTTTTCAGTTTTCCTACACTGTTTCTTTCCAATAGCTTTTCTGTCATTTTGCCTTTACAGCAAATATCCTGTCAGTCCGGGCTACAGCCTGATGGCACTGGCCTATCTGGCCTGGGATCAATGCTGCTCAGAGCTGAGGCCTTCCATTCATCTCAGTGCCATAAAATGTGATTAGTGCTGACTACAGCACTGCACGGAGATGGGCTGATAGGCCTGATAGCTTCAGATAGGCAGGACTGGACACTCAAAAGAACAGCTGGAGCAACAAAATGCTGGATTTTCCACAACTGCTCACTTTTATTTCCCCCTTTCCTTTTCATTTGTCATGTCTCTTTGCTCATTTAGTAAAAGCAGCTTTTAATCCATCTTGATTATACTAGTTCTTTCACTTTATGTGATCATGTTTTGCCAGTCTTTCTTCTCCCTTGTTTTTCAAACCCTGCAAAAGCTGTTACCTATACATAAATACCAACATTGTGAGCCTTATCATACTGCAACAAAAAAAAAGTAAAGTATTGTGTTGCAATGTATCTCTGAGGCATGTGACTGGCTCTGTCAGCCAATCACAGCCTCAGTGTTTGCCAGTGGCTGACTCAGGTTCAAAACTGTGACAAGAACTGAGGGGGAAAACAGTCAAATTCTGAGAAACCATATGTGTTATAAAAACAGACTTTAAACTCATTGGTAAGTGGCAGCAGAATATGTAAAAAATATTTTGACAGCTAGTGTTAAAAATAAGGTCAGTGAAGAGTATAACACTGTGAAGAAATCTTTTGTTATTCTAAACATAATGTGTAATGTCACTGAATAGTGCTCCAATGGAATCATAGAACATAGCATTATGTGACCAAATCTGCGTTAATCTAAAATAACTTATAAACACCAATTATTAGAATTAGAATCAAGTAATTTTTACCACTGATCATTTCGATTACAATGTGACCTTTACTTCAATGCAGTATACCTAGTTTTCCTATGGAACTATTCCAAATTACAAGGTTTTAAATTTTTGCAAAACTTTAGCCTTAGGCAGAATTTGAAAATTAGTTTTGGTTTTTATACAGTTTAAGAATAATAATGTAGCAGTACTTAAGTAGGGGGAATTTGATCAGCTTTCGCTGTTTTTTAAGGTTGGAATTGCAATCAGGAATCATCCGTTATGACTGGGCATTATATAAATAAATTAAGTTGAATTAAAAAGCCTATAAAAGGATTAAAAAGTGAGATAGTCCATTTATGTCCAAGTATATATACACAGAGAGAAGACACGGCATCAGCAAAATGAAATGGCAGATCAAGGGAAAAACTAAATTCATTTGGATTTCCTAAACACAATTTATGACATTACAACAATAATCAGAGGACTTTGTTAGACGGTGTTGGAGGGAGGCTGTTTAAAAAAAACATTTTGATCCGACTTTTGCTACCGTTTAGATCTCACTGTAAACAAAATAATCTTCATATATATAATCTTTCTATTTGGCCGTACATGTTTTTATTTTTTGTATCTTATCAATTTCATAATGTTTATATAAAATCGATAAGATAGAAAATTATAAACATTCATTGTTCTTAAATGATGACTGATAAAGTATTTCCACATGCAGTATTACATTCTATTCTTTTGTGTTATTTTGAATAGCTGGTAGTGAGTGATGCTCATTTGCATTAGATAGATAGATAGATAGATAGATAGATAGATAGATAGATAGATAGATAGATAGATAGATAGATAGATAGATAGATAGATAGATAGATAGATAGATAGATAGATAGATAGATAGATAGATAGATAGATAGATAGATAGATAGATAGATAGATAGATAGATAGATAGATAGATAGATAGATAGATAGATAGATAGATAGATAGATAGATAGATAGATAGATAGATAGATAGATAGATAGATAGATAGATAGATAGATAGATAGATAGATAGATAGATAGATAGATAGATAGATAGATAGATAGATAGATAGATAGATAGATAGATAGATAGATAGATAGATAGATAGATAGATAGATAGATAGATAGATAGATAGATAGATAGATAGATAGATAGATAGATAGATAGATAGATAGATAGATAGATAGATAGGGCCACATAAAAATCACACATAAAAATCACAGTCAAGGTTGGTAAGACTGAACCACATGAGACGATCATGACCTGTGTCTCGCGGACGTTCTCCACAGTGAAGTTGAACCACACTCTGAAGCGTGGGTTGCAGGTGTCGGGTCGAATGAAGAGGTCAAACTCAAAGTCACTGATGTAGTCTACACGGCCCAGATTCCCTGCAAACAAAGACAAGCAGGTTACGCTAGCAGAAAATACTTTTCTCTACATTTTTCAAATATAAAAGTTACTGACTTTTTCAACAATTCAGCTTTAGAAGCCTACAGAATGACTTAATAGATTACTTATTGAATCAGGTAAACAAATATTATCTTATGGAAAGTCAATCCAATTATTCTTTTAAATGTTCAATAATCAATTTAAGCTTTCCAATACAGAATAATTTTTTTTCAGGGAGTGGTATTGCCATTGTTAGAGAAGGGAGTGTGTGTCATAAAAAGGCTGCAAGTTCCCTGCTGGAAATTCCTGGTTCTGTACAAGACCCTTAGAATGCTCCCCCCCCCCAGTGACAGACCATTGCTCCAAAGTGGAATGCGTTGAATTCAGAGGACAAATTTTTTGTATCTACAAATGTGATGCAATGATACAGTAAATAAAGGTAGTTATTAGATATGCTAAATAAATCTAACCCTTTGTTCAGTTGAAGGAGTGGTTATCTTTCAATGAGAACATTGTAGGTCCAATCCCAGGTGTCTTCTGGCATGTGTCCCTGGGCAAGCCACCCTAAGTTCCCCAACGATCTCCATGTTTTTGTAGAAATGTGTGCACATCTGGATGGAGTCATGGGTGAATTTGGCTACGCTGTAATGTAGAGTTTTTGGTCGTTTTTTTTAAGACTGATGCCAATATCGGTTACAGTATTTTGATATTAGTCTAATCAATCTTTGATAAGCTCTGTTGGTATTTTGGGGTCAATTCTTGGAGCAAATATTTATCTTTCTTCCTCTTTTTACATCATAAAAGGTCATAATGATAAAAAAAATAATTACAGTTCTCAATTCAAACAAAAAAGAAACATTTATTAATAAATAAACAAAACATTAACAATGAACAACAAAAGGAGGGTGACAAGGCTGTTAAATACACTGATGAATAAACTCAATTCAATTCAGTTTATTTATATAGCATCAATCATCTAATGGCGCTTACAGACAATACAGTCAGATTGGTTCAAAGTTTTTGTCCAGGAAAACCAGTTCATTGCATCAAGTTATTATCTTGCAGGACATGCTCTTCCTGGATGAGCTTGCGTAGACGATTTACTCTTACATTTTGACATTTACTCTTCAGCAATCCCTCACACTGTGCATTTTGGTCAAACGTCCTTGTTGCTGAATCGTCTGTTAATTTTGTAACCACACCTGCACTGTGAAGATGTGAGCATACACATTAATTTTATTTGTTTAGCTTCCCTTTGGGGCCTGTACCAAAGCTGCATTGTAGCCAGTGTGAGAGTGGGACCTTCTTTATTGATATATGCTGCTTCGTCATTGCATTTTAGTTTAGACTATTATATGTAATAAATAGTATTAATGGCTTGCTGATATTTAAGATCAGATTCTTTGTCGATATGGTATCAAGATTTTATATTTTTGTTCCAAGGCTTGGGCGTACCCTCTTCCTACAGTTATAATATCTTTACAGGCTGATTTTGAAGTTTAAAAAGAACAGTCAAATAAGTATTAAAAAACATGTTGGTCTTCTCACTGAGGTCACACCAAAAAATAACTATGCGGCACCCTCCTTATGATAGCAGCCCGATTTCTTGTTTTGATTTTGAATTAAAACTTTTGGTCTAAAACTAGCAGATGCTAAATAGTAAAGTCTGCCAGCACACTGAGCAGGCCACAAGGTTTAGCGCTGCCTTACAACTGCACTTCAGGGTACTGTTGACCACCTGGTGACTGGTTGCATCATAACAGCAGGACCTGTGCACACAGACAGATGATTACAAACAGATGGGCTAACTGCCTCACTGTCAAAGGGGATTCCTCTCCTTCTGTCAACTAACAGAACTCTCATGCATTCAAAAGGAAGCCACTCTGCTCTACTACATTTAACCCAAACAAGAAAGTGGCATCATGCAATTTAGAATAAAATGTCGTAAAATATTTTCTTTATTCCAATGCACAGTAGACAACAGCATTTACTACTTAAAGAAAAAGAAAAGTACTACTTATCAATAGTCTAAATTATACAAGATACCTTTCTATTCTGATCCAGGTTCTATAAAGCAATTTAAAACGTCTGTCTGTGTAACAAACACTAGTAGACTAAATGATAAATGGCCTGTTCTAATATATATATATATAATAATATAATATATATATTTATATATATATATATAAAAATATATATATATACGCTTTATGAACGGCACGCTCTCTCAGTTCAACTCCATTCAATAGGTTGCCAAATTTCTATAGAGCCCTCCAGGCGAAACCCCGGCTAAATCACACCGTAAACAAGCCTTAATATGTAGCGGGAAAAACACCCAATCTGGCAACACCAGCTACCAGTGTCGTAGCCTACAGCCGCGTGCGTCATCAAAACAAAATGCAGCGTGGAAGCCACAGCAGCATGGAGGCGACCGTGGAGGCGACAAAGCAGCAGTATGATCACTTAAAACAGGTTTATGACCAGGTGGTCAGTGAGGATGTTGGCAACAATCTTACATTTCTCTGCAAACTTTGCCCGCCGGCTTTCAGTAAAAAAAATCCGCACTTTAACCTGCCTGGTATAATTTTCCAGGATTCCAGTATTCCTTTTTAGTATGTACTGAAATGAAATTTCAAATGGAAAAAAATATTAAAATTAAAAAAACATTTCCACCTTAAAGACTACTTTCCTGTTTTTCTTTTAATAATTCATCATAAAAAGACCATTCAAGCAGCACATTTTTCCTGATGTTTTTGAGAATATACTGTAGGGGTGAAAGCTGCAGCTGCTACTAGTGTGAAGTGAATGGACAGCAACAAAGCATTAAAGTAAGAATGGGGAAATGCTGTCCCCTCAATGCTAATGTAAACCCTGGTTGGATAAGGATTCAAAACTGGATATGAAGATTAAATCTGACGCACAGTTTCAGTGTTACAACTGATAAAATAATTGCTGTCTGTGGTTCTACAGTAGGCTATGGTGTAAGTGAGCAATATATGAAAAAAAAAACTATGAACTAGTTCATTTTTTGGAACTGTGAACTTAGTTCAAAATTTTGAATTATGAACTATGAACTGAACTAGTTCATTTTAAAATGTGTGAACTGAACTTTGAACTAGTTCACGTAGAAAGAGAACTTTCCCAACACTGTATATATATATATATATATATTTATATATATATATATATATATATATATATATATATATATATATATATATATATATATATATATATATATATATATATATATATATATTTTTTTTTTTTTTTTTTTTTTTTTTTATTATTATTATTATTTTATTTTTTTATGCACTGCAAATCCTCGGAATTTCACCATATCACACGCTTTCAGTATTAAAGCTGTTCAATCTTTCGCACATAAGGCCCCAACTCTGCAAATGGACTTACTTTGTGCCTCAGACTAGTAAAGAAATTATTTTGCCTGCTAAAAGAGGCCAGGGCATAGAATTGCATTTCAATGAAAGGCTGCATATAGTCTTTAGCCGTAGGTAGGTCAGAATCAGAATCAGAAATACTCTAATAATCCCAGAGGGAAATTACTTGGTCCATGTCAAAGTAAAATTAACATTGATGGCCGAACCTGTGTGTATTCAGAGTGGACCAGAGTTTGTTTCCCCTAATGGCCCAGACCTTTTATCAAGGTGTTAATAAAGACCAGCAAACTCTGATCAGGACCAAACAAGCAGACTGAGACACACTCTTTCACGTGGATTTCCAAATGGACTCTGGTACAGGTCGCTTGAGGGATGAATACAAGCCTTGCTCTGACCCAAATGCACACAGCATAGAATTTTGCTGGCTTACTAAACTACTCTAGCTGCAACAATAAAGGTAGACAAAAAAATAACCCCAATAATATTTGCATTTTTTTCTTGTATTGGTATTTGTCAATACATGCATGCGTTTGCTGATTCATTACTAAATTCAACACTCATGCTTTGAGATCATATAAAATGCATGCATTGCTGCAACCCATATTGTTTTCCTTGTTTTTTTTCATATATTTTTTTGTTGTTGTTTAAATTGAGACTTTTTTAACATTTGATATTATTGTGTTGTTTTAATCATGTAAATGAAAAAAAAAGCCATATCAGCTTCATGAATCTCCCCCCAAACATAGGCACCTATGGCATCTCACAGACAGAGCAAACCATTTTCATGTATTTACTCTGTCTTCACATAGTCATTTCTTATCAACAAGAGCAATGATCATTATATGAGTGGCTTTAGTATGAGTTATAGCCCATGTGAAAATAGTAGAATTTAAATACAAACGAAAGCAAATGAAAAAAATTTAATCCGCATTTGATCCAGACCAAACAAGCAGACCAATGGACTTTTCTGGTATGAATATAATTTAAGACTTCCAAGCATAGCATTTCCATACAGTAAGCACCACACTACTTCCAGTGGAATCCAACATGATGTACAAAAAACATGATCAATTTGATCAACCTACCTTCTTTCACTGTCTGTTGTGTAACACTAATGTGAACATTGTTGGCCCACTTGATGGTGTACAAAATTGCTAACAAATTAAAACAAGGCAGTTTCATCCCAGTTTTTTTAATACTGCACTTCCACTTTATTTTCATTTAAACATTTGCTACTAATAGGACTCAGCAGTGGCATTCCGGCTGCTATGCTGATATTATGTAGTTTCATGCACAACAAAAAGAAATGTGCTTTGTATTCTGTTACCTTTCTATCAGAACCAACTTTTTCAACAATTTGATTCACAGCAGCTCACCTAGATCATAGAACATGTACCTTTAAGCACAAAAAGAGTATTTGCAACTTAGCAATTCTTCTTGCATGTAACATGATAAATAAATAAATGGTGTAATTGAAGTAACCTACAGTAATTATGTTATGCCTGTCATAAACCTATTAATCACTGATGACCCCTGATTTCCACACTTTTCTCAGAAGTTTTGATTGATATTCAGTAGTAAATCAAAGGTCTGTTACTACA